TACCTTAAGTCCATCTATCATCCAGAAAATAAAGAACTAATTGACAAGGGATTGGTTCTATGGTTTCCTGGGCCAGCTTCGTTTACGGGGGAAGATTCATGTGAGTTTCAAGTTCACGGTTCCTTAGCTGTAATTGCCGCCATAATGGATGCGTTAGGCAAAGTCCCTGGACTGAGGCCGGCAACTGCTGGCGAGTTTACAAAACGTGCCTTCTTCGGTGGAAAACTTGATTTAACTGAAGTCGAGGGTTTAGCCGATTTAATACATGCTGAGACAGAAGCACAAAGAAAACAGGTGATCACTAAGAGATATCTTCGTTTTCTAACGATTTGTTTAATTTTTCTGAAATTTATAACACTTTTACAGGCTATGCTGCAAAGTACTGGGGCACTTTCCCGTGTTTACGACAACTGGCGGAGGCGTCTAATACGTTGTGCCGCACATTTGGAAGCTTACATAGATTTTGCGGAAGAAGAAAATATAGAGGATGACGTGGTGATGCAATTGAATAAAGAACTTCGCCGTATTATAACTGAAATACGTGAACATCTGAACGATCAGCGCCAGGGCGAAATGTTGAGAAATGGAGTGCGCACCGCGATAGTCGGTGCTCCCAATGTGGGCAAAAGCAGTTTTTTGAATATGATGTGTCAGCGAGAAGTAGCAATTGTAACACCCATAGCTGGCACTACACGCGACATCATTGAAAGTACGCATAACTTTGGCGGCTACCCAGTCATCTTTGCCGATACTGCAGGTTTGCATAAACAAACGCAGGATATAGTAGAATTGGAGGGCATGAGTAGAGCAAAAGAATGTCTGCAAAATGCGGATCTAATTTTACTGCTAACTGATGCGCGTGAGCTGTTGGCCAATATAGCAAATAATAATGGCACGTTAAAAGAATATCAATCCAGTTACCTGCAGCAATTGGACTTGGACGAAAATGCGTTGGCGGATAAGCGCATACAATTGATTACAAATAAAATCGATTTGCTCTCAACGACGGAGCTACAAAGGCTGACGCAAATCGATGTGTTGCGCATCTCTTGTAAGGAGCCGAATACTGTTGAATTACAACCATTTTTACAACATTTTGAAGGAGTACTGCGCGAACTGTAAGTAGTAAAAATATACATGTGTGTTTATGTATCGCTAGTGTAGTATGGAAAGAGCCACAAAAATCAAAAAGTGAATTTTAGATTTTTAGTTAGTTAAATTTTTTTGTATTTCAGCGACGATGTGTGAGATACATCCTTTCCATACTATACTAACGATATGTACCATATGCGTACTGAAGCGATTTGAAAAGGTGTTGATTTTATTTATTTTATCACTTAAAGCTGTGGCCAACCATCCGCCGAACATCCGCGCATTACGCATACACGCTATCGTCAACAGCTAGAACGTTGCATTGAACATATTAATATTTTCTTGGATGAATATGCGCCAGATATATACCCAGATATAGCTATTTCGGCGCAAAAATTGCGAAATGCCTTAAAATGTATTGAACGTATTACGGGACATGTGAGCTCAAATGATATATTGGATGTGGTCTTTAAAGACTTTTGCATTGGCAAATAGCGTGTTAGAAAAATAGACTGATTAAAAATGTATTGATTGCTCATGGGAAATCGCAGATACTTGTACGCCAAGTGCGATGCCACTTCTAATCCAAGTTATGAAAATTTCATAAAAGACTTTGTCTTCAACACTTTTCAGGGGTTTATTTTCTAAACTCACTAAAAATTAACTTCTATTTTGCTCATCGAACAGTATGTCATAAAGCATGATAAATCACTTCAATCTCGCGGTATTGCATTTGTCTTATGCGGCGATATACATAATTGATAGAAAACTCAAAAAGTATTTGTAAATAATGAATTGAATGATTTTTTCGCAATTAGATACTAAGCAAAGAAGATGAATTTATTTGTGTGTAGATTTTAATGTAGATAACTTTGTATGTAGTTAAAAAAATTTGTCCTTAATTCAAGCCAAAAGTAATGTGTTCATAAATTATTTAGAGTTCTTCAAATTGCAATAAATGTTTACAATGGCATTGTATTATGTTAATTGAGGGAAATGTTGATGCGATGCGAAGATTGGATTGGACCGTTCAAAAGCAAGATGGTTACCAAGGACCATCACAACAGCAGCAAACCCCAGTTTTTTTTTTCCGAAATAAGAGTATGACTTAACGGCGCGCTAATTCTACAAACTAGTGGTCCATTCCGGCAGAGAACAGTAGCCAATGTCGGCTGGCTTAAGACATTCTTTTAAATAAAAATAATTGTCGGTCTTACTTTTTCATTATATTTATTACTTGGATTGCATAAAATAAATGAGTTTAAAAAAATTGTCTTTCATAAAAAATGAAGAAACTAATTTAACAAACTATTAAAAATACATATGTATATTTACGACGTGTATAAACAAATTCACAATTTTTATCAATCCGAATACAATATGCGAGAGAGAGCATACATTTCAATATCGTTTTATAATAATTGAGTAGTGATTTTTTTTTAGTTTATTTTTATGGTGCATTGTCACACAGTGATTGTAGTAGTTTGTTATTACTTTTTCATGTGGTATACGAATTATTCATTTTTTTCATTGTTTTGGTAATTGCTAAAGATTACAATTTCGAATTCTATTTTAAATTATTTTGCTTTTCTTTTGATTATAGTTTAGTTGCTCATTCCTTTATAAGCGCATTCGCAACAACTACGATATTGACAATTTTTATTTTTTTTTACCAATGTGGATATTTACAAAATTATTTATTAAAAAAATTGTTTTTTTCGCGTTTAACTACAATTGTCTCTATTAAATTTGCGAAACTAATAAGTCTATGATTTGCATTAGGCAATTTAAGTACAATAAATATTGCAAACTCACTAAGATTTTTTAAACAACTGCAGCAAAACAAACAAATAGCTGGTAAATTTATAAACACTTTTTTTGTAGCTTTGTATATGTAGTTATTGAAATCATTTTTAATATCAGAGGAGAGAGCATGCATTTCAACTTGAGTGCTTGATTATTTTCTAAGTTTTATTACTGCTTTACTTATAAAAAAAAAAAAACTCTCACACTTGTAGTCATATAGGGGATTTCGCTAAATTCAAAAGTATTTTCCTTACAAATCTTGACAGCTGAGCAAAAGTTTCAGGTCTACGAGGTTTTCGTGACTTTGTTCAGCTTGAGCGAATACCCCCTTCTTTATCCTTTTGTAGCATATCAGTTTCATAATACAAATCGTTGATGAAATGTAGAAAAGCCCCAACTGGCTTTTTTAGTTTTTTAGGAGAAACAAAAAACCAAAGCTCCAACACATACAATACTGCCGTGGGCCTTTTTAAATAGCGTCTTACAATCATTGGATTTTAAATTGTGGCTATAAAATTGGTAAGGAAGATGTGTTTTAGATTTACTACTTAAAAATGCATATTTCATATTTCGCAAAAATGTCAGTTAAGGCATTTCTACATTGTCTCTATCGCATGTTGTTTCTATGACATACATGTTATTAGGCACATGCAACAAGTAGCAAAGATAGCCAAGTGCAAAAGGCTGTAAAAAGCGTGCGAGTCTAAGGAAAAAATCTTACAATTATTGAATACAGTAGTTTCCTAGCCTAAGCTCGATTTCATTAACAGTTTCATTAAAAAAAAAAACTATGCATTTGCCTTGCGGCGATTGAGCTCTTCAGCTGTCCATTCATTGTTTATGACGCCTAGTAGTATAGACTTTTCGGTCGATTGGCGAAAAATAGGCGCTAGATGCCTTTTAGTCGCGTATATCAGTCATCAGTGTGATACGAAACGTATACAGCATCACCACCGATGCTTATCAAGCATTGACCCTGGAAGATGTTATGACAAAATCGTAAAAGTGAAAGTATGGAATAGTTAAGCAAATTAAAAATTAATTATATACTTGATTCTTATGCTGATTATCGACCAAAATCAATTCACTCATATAGAAGGAAACCATAGCATTACCGCCCAGAGCTGATATATGCGCACGGACCACCGCCAACAGCTGAAAGAAAGCAATTGGTTAATTTAATAAAAATTGCAAGTTAAACTATGACGAAGAAATTAAATGAATTGTAAAAGCAGCATATAACACTGACTTAAGAAATACATACATACATACATATTTCAAAAGTAAACTCACCTCGGTTATAAATGAGTGCACAAAACCACTAATGCCACCGGTTTCACGTATCGAAGTCGTTTCGCGTATAAAGAAGAAATTCAAATTGCCCAAATATTTATCAATGCGACCACCTGGTATAAAACTGAGCGGTGTAATATCAACGCCATAACGATCGCGGAGAGGGAACTGCATAAATTAGAGTAGTAATTAAAAAAAAATATTTGATCACTTACACTACTTGTATATATATGTACATATGCATATTTACGCACATAGTAATTGCGATTAATTGCACCTGCTTTTTTGCTATGCTGTCGAGATGGTGATGTTTTCGCCAACTTGAAGCTATTTAAGCCATACGGTGGCAAATTTGATGTGGGTGTTGGCGTCTCGACCATTTGATCCTCGTCGAGTGGAAAAATGTAATCTTCTTCTTGCAGCGTACGTTTATTGCCAGCTGTAAGACCATTCGTATCAGGCGCATCGGTGCTTGCGCCATTCGTTATGCCCGTAGCAGCTGCTGGCTTGCGACGATATTTAAATTTATTTGCATCGCCTAGACCGAGTGCCATGCCAGTGACTAGTAATTGTATTTGATCCTGGAATTTTAAATTATCAGTGTAATTCGTATGTTTATCAAATTGGTGGGAAAAGAGGAATTAAAAAGAAACTGAGGGAGAAACATATATATGTAGAAATTTATACCAGAATATGTACTTACACTCTCCGGCAGGTCGAGTCGAAATCTTAGATCGCAAATCGCACAGGGTATCATGGTGCGCAATTTAAAGTAAATCGTCTGCAAAAGTCTGTAAGTAAGAAAATTTGTTTTTCAGCATAGCGAACAAAGAGCTATCAAAAGCGGATTGGGGATCTTTTTGCGACTAGAACCCAATGAAGAATCAAACAATCAAAAGTAAGTAAGTATACACAAAATGAATTTTAGCGGCTAGGTTAGGTTATCCCGAAATGAGGTACACTTGGATCCTAAGCATCAATCCTTTGTGATACCACTACAAACGGCAAGTGCTTAACTAAAACAAAAACCACTGCGTCTAGCCGGCAAATGACATTCCTTGAGAGCTTCTTATATCTGGTCAAGAACTGATATTTCATTAGAATTCCCTAAAAACTCTTTGATGAATTTATAGGCTATTACAACAACAACAGGGAAGATCCGGTATGATATTTAGTCTAACAGGCGGTGTGTTTTTCAATAGGAGCTCGCTGTATTGTACCAATCGTGTGGCTACAAAAAAAAAAAATTGTCGTCCCAATTTTTTTTATTTTGTACCAATAGCACAATATAAAAAATATACAAATCAGTACAAGTGTACATACCAATCATGTGAAACTGCCTTTAATATTTCTTATGCCAAATTTCCAATAGGCATTAAATGGCAAAGTTGGGTCTTAAAAAATAATCGTGTCATTACGTTCACGTTTTAAATCACACCAATTTTTTGGCATAGCGCCGAATTTCCACAAGGCACTGAGTTGAAAAAAAAATATTTCATTTAAAAAATGCCTTAACGCGAATATTTTTTAATGCCAATATTTGCCATTAAAATTTTTGCCATTTAATGCCCAGTGGAAATGCGGCATTAGGCTTAAATTTAAAATTTTAAAACCGACAAACCATTTTTTGGTCACATAGGTTAGGTTTCTTTGATAAGAGCATAAAAAATTTATCAGCGCCAATTTTTGCACGGAAGCTTTTGGATTTTAATCCTATTTTGAGCAAGAAATACAAAATGATTCAAAAAGTGTGCCGCTTCTCAAAAATTGCGTAAATTAATTAAAAATCAGATTAAATCTTCTGCGCATACTCACCGCTGAAAATGTTTGGGAAATCCATTAATATTTTGATTGACATCCAATTTGGCGCGCCATACCTGCGTAAACATCTGCAGATTCTTCACCGCCTCTATGTCCAACATGCCGGGCACACTTTGCGTGTTAACCACGTGGAAACCCTCTGGGGGATAGGTTTCCATGAGCAACGAAATAATTTCTAAATCCTCAATATCATCCACCTCCAACACGCACGTATCTTTATTGCCACAATTCAAATCGATTTCAATAACCTCATCATCCGATTCATCCGTATCCGATTGCTTGTCCAATGTCGCACTACCGCTGCTACCTATCAAATCAGGATCGATACATTTGAGCTGATAAACTTCCTGATTGCGTTCGAACGTCTCCTGCAGCTTCTTTTGCAACTCATTCAATTTCTGTTTGTCTGTCCACGAATTGCCCGCCACAATCTTTGGCACCTGTGGCACTGGCAGTGCAGTGAGGAAGAGCGCTGTACCAGTCGCTATTAACGCAATCATGCGTTCACCTATGGCCACCTGCGCACGCAAACCGAAAATTGCATTCATACCCTTGGCCTTCAGCTTGTTGATGAGCACACGATGCAGTTCATACTCCAAGAAGGGCAAACCATCGGATATCTCTTTGGCATTAAGTTCTGAACGTAGATCCTTTTTGGCGCGCACGACTTGTGCTTGCATAAAGCAACCACGACCGGTGACATGCAAATGCTCTGGGACCTCGAGTGTGGCCAAAAGCACATCGGGCACGCGTCCCTTGCGGCATATAGCGCATTTCTTCATTTTCACATTGAACGGCACCGACGCTAAATTATACGGCACATGGCAGACGCTACATGCGGAATTTTTCACTAAATTCATGCTGGGCGGCAGTGCACTTTTCTTGCTTGCCGAACCGTGTATGCCGGCGCCTAGTGAAGAAGACGTCGCCGACTCTTTCGCTGCAATTACTCCGGCGGCTTCATTAGCTAAGCCGTTACGCATGTCTTTGAGTATTTCACGTTCCTCCAAGGAGGCAGACATCACGACGGCGGTGCTGCTCACACCAATGCCTATGCCGACGGGCTTTATTGTGCCGGTAGTGATGATATCATTTTGGGACACCGAACGATTGTAGGCCATATTGATGACGGCAGCTGTGCCGGTAGCCGACAGAACGCAGACATCGTCACTGGAAAATTTAATTGTCAAAGAAAGATAGTCGGTTTTAGGAAATAAATATGTACATAAATAAGGGACATTCAAATGTATGTACATACATATGTATGTATGTATGTCTACTCACGATATGGTAGTCGCTTCCGAGTAGCCCAAAACGACATTA